AATGGCCGACCATATGATACCAGTTATGAGTATATCTAAAATGTGATTTCTTTTTTAATAAAGCATTTATATTGAAATTTTTCTACTACTTTTTAAGCAATTTATTGATATATGGGAGCTAGGATCAATTATAGACCGATCCTATCAAAATTTAGAGGAGGGATTTATGTTCATATAGGAATTAGATATGCAGAATTTCATCATAATGGTAGTGTTTAAGAGGGAAATAACGGCAAGCCACAATTAAGAGCTCCGATTTAATCCATTTTCAAACAACTTCGTCCTTTGGTAAAATTAAATATTTGAGCCTATTTTCATCAAATTATCTGGAAAATTGCGACTTGTAGTTTGATTATAGGGTTTACATGGACGGACAGTAGGACGGACATATATATGCTGTAGGATATATGTAGTTAACTTTCTTCTATTTTGAAAGGAAGTAGGATCTGAAATGGTTTGTAACTGAAAAAATAAAAAGGTTTTATATAGTTCATTAAAAAATGTTTTTGACTGTTTTTCCTGGCAAATTAATTGTTTGTTGAGAGAACGGTTGATAAATTCTTGAACATTTTTAAATATCTAAAAAAAAGGTGTTTATGCATAAAAGTGAGCATTTTAAAAGCTAATAATTCATATAATTCAATGTACTTTATTCCAGTATAGCCACAATTTTAGATTTTGGGGAAGGATCCGAGATATCAGAAGTCACGCATAGAATATGACGTCGAATTAAAAAAATTTCTAAGAGTGAAATATAGCTACAGTCAAGCCATAAATATTGATATATGACATGTTACGATCGGACTTAAAATGGCGGCGTAATATATATAGAGACTGTGTGCCAAACGGCAGCAAAATTCTATGGTAAAATAAAATTTTCTTATGGTGGAAAATATTACCACTTTTGCTGTGCCAAACGAAATCTTTTTTGATTACATTAAATTTTTGACAATTGTCACTAATTGCACAAGAAAATCTGCATTTGTTTTAATAAAAGAAGCACTTTTATTGATTTTTTTTATTATTGAAATAAATTTCTACAATCAGAAATGTATTATAAACTGAAATTATAAAATATTTTATTTTTTGTATTTTCAAATTTTTCTTTTCATTTGTCAAAAATTTGTGTAGCCCTATGAGCTAGTAAAATTTTATTCACCTCATATCTATCAAAAATTTACATTTTCAAGTAAATTGTTACCGATTGGCACACACTCAGTGTGCCAATCGTGGCGTGGCAAAAAAATATTTTTTATACTTTTAGAAATGTTATTAACATATCTTTAATCCTAGAGGGTGACTGAAACAACTCTAATGTACATATTGCCAATTATATGTACATACATATGTATTAAGCGCCGTTAATTTTTCGACAGTATACATAGAAACAATAAAATTTCACATTTTAAGATTTGTTCTAAGAGTGTGTGCCAATCAGTAACAATTTACTTGAAAATGTAAATTTTTGATAGATATGAGGTGAATAAAATTTTACTAGCTCATACAGCTACATAAATTTTTGACAAATGAAAAGAAAATTTTGAAAATCCAAAAAATAAAATATTTTATAATTTTGTTTACAATACATTTGTGATTGTAGAAAATCATTTCAATAATAAAAAAATCAACAAAAGAGTTTCCTTTATTAAAATAAATGCAGATTTTCTTGTGAAATTAGTGAAAATTGTCAAAATTTCATGTAATCAAAAAAGAATTCGTTTGGCACAGCAAAAGTGATAATATTTTCCAGCATAAGAAAATTTTATTTTACCATAGAACTTTGCTACCGTTTGGCACACAGCCTAAATGAAAAAATTTTAAATAAATCTAATAAAACAACGTCAGACAACTTTAATTTAATATTTTGATAGATGCTTTTAATATGGTTCCAGTTTAATTATGTGGATCCTGTGAACAAAGTGTTACTGGTAAACGTAGCTTGTTATGTATTTTCTGAGATATGTGGTTTCACACTGACTTAAGGAATTTATAAAGATGTGTTCCAAGTTCTTGATAAAAATCGTAATTTAAAATTCACCTGCAAAAACTGTGTGGCCAAACCTGTGGACAACACTGAAGTTGATGTATCATTTCGGAAAGAGATTCGTAATGAATTTGCTGAATTTAAAAAATCTTTAACCAATCTGTCGGTCGACATTAAGCATGTGCAGACTGAAATGAACAATAAATTTGAATCTGCAATAAATGGGATTCGCATGGAGTTAACATCGGCCATAAACAACTTTAATGATGAGGTTTTATCATGTAAAAAACAGATGGAAGATTGTGAAAGTAATACTAAGAGAAAAGTACATGAACTTGAATTGGCAAATAATATCTTTCAACATACCCTGAACCGTGCTGATATTATAATTTCTGGTGTACCACAGGAGATAAAAGACATGGAAAAAATTTTATTAGATTTGTGTGTTTTTTACAAAATTTCTATTGATACTAAAGACCATAGACTACTCATAGACTGGAATCAGCTGATTTTAGCAATATGGCGGAGGCAAACAAAAAAAATTTTACGAAAAATCAACAAAAGAAAATGTAAAATGAACCACGGGAGATTTAAAAGAGGGACAAATATATAAAGATATATTTCCATCTCTCTTCACCTTACACTTATTTTTTTCCAAATATAAAAAACAAATTGCATTACAGTCAAACCCATTTATAACTTCTTCTTGCTCTTTACGAACTCATCTTAATTACCGGAATTTTGATAACTATTTAATACAAAAACATATTTTATAAAGAATACTTGGTTAAAACGAATTACTATTTAGTCCCATGAATAATATTTTATACATTTATCCTTTTTTATATCGAACTTCAAAAAATATGGTTGAAATCAAATAAACGGGTTTTACTGTACATGCAAGTCAAAAAATATGTTTGTGGTGTTGATAGTGTATTGAAAAGTGTTTTATAATGAAAGAACAATAAGGAATAATTAAAAAACAAATCCAGTACACTTTTAATTAGAATCTAAGCAAATATTTAATAAAATAATTGTTTTCTTTTTAATCTTATTTTTTTGCAATTCTTCTTCACATACAATTTCTCCGATGTTTACATTTTTTGCTATTTTTTTTCAAACGAGCGATGAAAACAATCATACAGCTCATCTCACACACTCATCGATTTTTTAATACATTTTATTTTTTCTTTTGCTCTAAAATTTTACCTAATGGCGGAACTCAAAAATGGTAAAAAAAATGTAAACAAAACCATACGGTTCGAATTTACTTTTTTGACAGCTGTCAATGGTTTCTTATCTGGTTATCTGTGCTAAAGATATTCTACAATTTTTTTAAAAATGGTGAAGATATATGTAATCGTGTTTACTTGAATGATAACCTCACGCCAATGGCTGCTAAACTTTTTTTGTCGGCCACTTGTCAAGGAAAAGAAGATTTACAGTTTTATAATGATTAACAGAGACATCCCCAAGTGTAAAATAAAAGTATTGCCTGATGATGATTTAAAAACCTTTAATCCTGTGAAGCGTTATGAGTATTTTAATAAAACTTTTTGATATTGTTATTTTATAAGTTTGAATTCATTATATATATTTTTTTAACTTGTAGGTTTGTTGAACAACTTTGTTTGGAAGTTTTTATTTAGTAAACCTTTTATAGAATTCAGTTAATTATGAAGAGGGAGATATACCTATTGGTTACTTTATTCTTAATTAATTTTATGGTTTGTGGAAGGTTTGCTGATTTAGGCTTTCATGCAAATTTTTTTTTGTTGCCTTTAATAGGCTTAATCTTGATTGTGAATAATGAATATTTTTTTATTTTTCTTAATACTTATTTTGGATTTAATTTTTTTCTTATTATTTTTTGTATAACTTTATTTCTCGTAATATAAGTATATTTCTATTTACTTTTGTTTATCTGTTGGTTTGTTCTCTGGTTTTTATTATTCTAATTTTTGTGCTCTTTTATAAAATTTCCAATTATCTTATATAGTTCAAACCAAGCAAGCAAACTAACGTAATTAAATAGTCAATAATTGTCTTGTTGTTGTTGTAACAGCTTAAACTATAAAATTTTTAATCCGGGGGTTCTGTATTAAGGTCCAAGCCAAGAAATTGGGCTACTTCAATAGGGTTAGTCCATAAATACATTGGGCTAAGTGAAGTAGGGTGGGCTGGACAGTTGAATATGTGGTGGGTATCATGAGGACCCTGTCCACAAGCTGGGCATATATTGTGGACGGCACGGTCTATGCAGGACCAGTAGGCGTTGAGCCTGTTGCTCCATCCCGATCTCAGTTGTGCCAGAGCAACTCTTGTTTTCCGCGGCAGGTTCTTCTCTATTTCTGCTATGGGCGGTGGGCGACCTCCAAGAACGACATTCATGCGGTAACCTGAAACCGCGGTATTGATGGCGTCTCTATGAATGTCGTTCAAAGCTGCTGTATACGAATTCCGATCTAAGGGATCCTGAACATAACTTCGTATGCTCTCTTCGTATACACGAAGGTCCTTCCTGACATATCTCGGGGGAGCATCCAACTGTGTGATGTTAAAGTTGGGATGACCCCTCCGGTGACATCCCAGGAGGAACTGTTTAGTCAGCATGACATTATGTTCCTTGACTGGGAGGACCTTCGTTTCCTCATGTAGATGAGGTTATTTGCATGCAGCCCGTTACAGTCCGTAGGGCAGCATTTTGGCAGCTTTGAATATTTCTCCACTGGGTATCACTCAGCGAAGGAGACCACACTGGAGCAGCAAAATTGACCACTGACCGGCCAATTGTTTTATAGGTAGCCAACAAGGTTTTTTTGTCCATTCCCCAAGTGCTGCCGGCTAGCACTTTGAGGACCTTGTTTCTACTTCGCAATCTGTGCGTAATTGCAGTGGCATGAGCTGAGGAAGTAAACAGGCTGTCAAAGGTGGTCCCCAAAATCTTTGGGTGGTTCACAGTCGGTATTTGGTTTCCATCGACTACGACGCCTAGGTTCAAGTTTACCTCCTTCGTCTAGGTGGTGAAAAGTGTAGCTGAAGACTTCGCTGGTGATAGTTTAAGGTTACGTCCAGTGAAGAAGTTGTGTATTTCTCCGAGATAACCATTCACTCGATCGCATAGCTCATCATCGTTTTGGCCCGTCGCCATAATGGTACAGTCGTCCGCATAAGATATAACTTCCACACCTTGTGGAGGTGTGGGGGATAAGACACCGCCCTGTGGTACTCCCTGTTTAACTCTACGGGTTTTGGAACATTTGTCTCTAAACTCAACGAACGACTGACGGCCACTCAGATAATTTACAATCCATCTCTTCAAGTTGTTGGGCATGGATGACTGCTGGATGTCCTGGAAGAGTGTGGTATGGCTGACTGTATCGAAGGCTTTCGTTAAGTCTAGCGCCACTAGGAGTGTCCTTTCACAAGGCCTCTGCTGGTTTAAGCCTTGTGAGATCTGAGTGGTTGTGGCGGTTAATGCTGAGGTGGTGCTGTGCATCTTACGGAATCCATGCTGGTGGCGAGCTGCTGTTAGATGGCAGGACAGCTGGGGGAGGAGGAGTGCCTCAAGAGTCTTCGCGACTGGTGACAGGAGGGAAATCGGCCTGTAGGATTGACCCTCTGTCGCGTTCTTCCCTGGTTTCAGTATTGGGATGACTACCCTTTTTCCAGGTATTGAGTATTATCAGGCTGCTCATTGACAGGTTAAAAACCATTGTCAAGTACTCGACTCCCCGTTCGCCAAGGTGTTTCAGCATCAGCATGGATATGCCGTCGGGGCCAATCGCCTTAGATAGTTTGGCTGCGTTCATGGCCTCTGCATCTTCAGAAGGGGTGAAAGGTTGTGGAATGTCCGAGACTGGAAGGTTGTGAAGTTTGCGAACAACACTTCGTTTCGCCTTATCTCTCTCTGGGTGCTCAATAAAAAGTCGGCAAAATGCATGCGAGCACCGTTCAGGTTCGGAGATAGTGGTGTCTGCAAACTTAATCGCGACCCTGTCATCCTTCTTCGTCGGGTTGGAGAGAGACCGAACTGTAGACCACAACTTACTAACACCTGAGCTTAAGTTGCAGTTCTTCAAATGATCTAACCATTTATTCCGCTTGTCTTCATTTACCAACCTGCTGATATCGTGATTCAGCTGGACAATACGTGGGTCGTCGGGGTTGATATTTCGGAGGTCACCGCGTTGTCTGCTAGTCTCGCTGCCTCTGCCGGGAAGTGCGGCCGTACTATGGATAGTCGACCAGCAGGAATAAAGCGGGCTGCTGCTGCGATGACAGTTTCGCGGAACTTGCTCTCTGCTTGGTGTACGTTGCTAGGAGCTGGAAGATCATTGAAGATACGATCAGTGAATTCTCTGAGGCCGAGCCAGTCTGTTTTCTTTTGGTTTATGTAGAGACGGCGTTCAGAGACGATAAAGTCATTATGTCGATCCAGACAAACGATTATAAGTAAGTGGTCTGAGGCTAGAGAAACTACTGCTCTACAAGTTGCGTAGTTTATCGGACCAGGACTCGTTATTGTGATGTCTGGAGAGCTGTCGGGACGCTAGCCTGATGAACAGCTGGCTACTGGCGGAATGTTGACATTATAGAGCTCTAGGTCGGTTTCCCCCGATCTGACTGCAATACCTTGAACTTCAAGGTATTGGTCCCTAGCGTTGAGATCGAGGGAAAGAGCTCTATACTGCACTGTGTTATGGATTATAAATGCAATGCCCCCACCGTTGCTTCTGGTGCGGTCTTTTCGAAGAACGTTGTAACCGTTACAACTGTGCAGGCTGGAATTACTCGTCAGTCTTGTCTCCTGGACCGCAGCTACCACGATGATGTTTTGCTGCATAAATCTGGTTATCTCGGGTAATTTACTCTGGAGGCCATTACAGATAAACTGCAATATGGATATCACCCCAGGTCTCTGGACCGCAATCGATGGAGTCAGCGGCGTTGTTGTTGCTGCTGAAGATGTGGTGTTTGCTGCGGTTGTTGTGATTGCGGTGGGGAGGGTGGAGGTGTGGCGTATGATGACGACGATGACGATGTCGATGATGCCAATGAATTTCGTCGCTGTTGTTGGCAGCATGGGGCGACAAAAGTCTCCGACCACTCGCGATGATGGTTTAGTCCAGAGCAGTTTCTGAGATGACACCAGCTTAAACAAGCGTTGCACCGTAATTGGATGGACATATGGTGGTCCGGGATTTAATTCGATTCCGGCACGGACCAATAGGATACGGAGCAGCAATGCCGGAAAATGTTGCTCCGTTGGTAAAAATGTGCAGTTTTTTCTGGAGTTGACAGCCCTTGGCCGAAAAATTTCGGGTCATTCCGGCACGTAGAACCTGCTTTCGGGGAATTCCATTTCAATAATTGTCTTATTCATGCTGGTTACCCTTCAGTCTTATACAATTTCTTAGATGGAATTGTTATCCTTTAAGACATAGGTGAGCACCATGGATTCGAAATTATTATTATATATTGAAGAAATTACTTATAAACATCTAAACTTTGAATTTTAATATCCAATCACCAATATCATTCTGAAACTTTTAAAATTTTGTTTCTTTAAAAATTTATTATAGTAATTTAAATTTTAAATGCCTTTTTTAGTTTGAAATATACATTCCTCTCCAGCAACTGATTCTTTTGTTATTTTAGATGTATCATAATGAAAACTTAGGTATTATCGCTAGAGATAATAATATACTCAAAAACTCCCTTTTTGGAAACAGTAATTATTTTAACATTGGACATATTAATGTTCAAAGCATTAACCCTTCCAACAGATCAACGAAACTTGAGGAATTTAGACATTTAATTTGTGATTTTGGTATTGGTATTGTTGGAGTTTCGGAAACGGTGAGAATATCCGTACGTTTTTTTGAAATATAAAACAATTTTCATTAGGACTGAATTTGGGTTGTGCGAATCTCTATTTGTTGAGGTTATGGGTGTGGGGAATGTTGTGATATTGGTTGGTGTTGTGTATTTACCAAGGGTCTTCATTGCTACTTTTGAACGTCTTCATTAAAAAAATTATTCAAATATTATCAATTTGGGGGATTTTAATTATGATTTGTTTGATACCAGCTTATCTGTTAATTTCCGATTAATGTGTCTTAGACTTGGTTTATATACGGTTCATAATTGTATCCCTACGTACTTTGACTTGACCCATAGCAGCACATCGCTTATTGACTATTTTAGTGAGTAATGCTTCTTCAGTTATGAATTCAGGACAATTTATGTGCCCTTTTACTAATTCCACCATAGCTTTATATATATTTCGTATAACATTACTAAGCATTTTGTTTGTGAGGTGGTTGAATTTAAGGATTATAATAAAATAGATTTTTCTGAATTGTTGTCTCATGTTCTTCAGTTTTACACTTCTGTTATTTATAACACTAATGATGTTGATACCCAATTGTATTTCTTAAATATTTTGCTAAATGAACTTCATGACATGGTTCCTTTGTCTAGGGTTTTTTGTAAGCAGGACACTATTAGTTTTATGAAGTTGAGTAATGTCGTTCATGCGAGGTCCTTAAGGGACCTGGCGTTTCAGGCTTACCGTGATTGCCCCACTGACTCAAATAGAAAGATATGTTGCAAATATAGCAATAGGGCAAAAGCAACCCTACGTAAAGAAAAAATAAATTATAGTATGCGTTTGTTTGATACTGCGGATAGTAAACAGATTTGGAGGAGACTTCGTAATCTTGGATGCTCTGGTAATGATAACCTATTAAATATGATGGATGTTGAATCTCTTAACAACTCTTTTTTGAACCACTTTGATTCTACCAGAATTTATGACTTTGATTTCCTAGGTTTTGATTACGGTCTTGAGTCATTTTCTTTTCGTATTATTACTGCAGATAAGTTGCTTATAGCTATGGAGCAAGTTAAATCGAATACTATTGGCTAAGATATGATTCCAATTCCAGAAATTCATTAAACTCATTTATCCTCTTATATCAAACGTGTTATTGCACATCGTAAATACAATCTTTACTGTTTCTTTTTTTTCCTAAACTATGGAAATTGACAAAAATTGTACCTATTTCTAAAGGAGGTTGTTGTGATATTGAACTTAAGTCCAATAAGCATATTACCATCATTGTCTAACATAGTTGAAAATTTAATTAAAAGTCAAATTTTAAATTTTATTGATCGTAACTCTATGTTACTAGTCAGTTTACATTTCGTTAAAAATAAAATACTACCTCTTTGTTGTTATCTTTGACAGACGATTATGTGTAACGAGTTTTGCAAGCCATTTGTATTTGCTGATGATATTTAGCTCCTTTTTTCTAATATGCATTAATTTGATTTTTTTGAAGCATCTATAAATTATCATTTTCAGGTGATTTCAAATTGGATGCATGCTAATAGGCTTTCGATAAATACTACTAAAACTAAAGCCATTCAGTTTGTTTTGCCTCGTCATGTTATTCAACATCCTGTTATTTATATTTCGAATGCGCCTATTCAATATGTTGATCATTTGAAATGCCTTGGTATTTATTTGGATCAAAATTTATCTTTTGAGTGGCATGTTAGTCATCGGACTCTCTCTCAAGATCTGAGGCAAAGAGGATCAGGTCTCCCGAAGAGTTGACAACTGAGAATAAACCTTTTAATACACAGTCGAAGCCAAGCCATACTTCACTCAAAGGAACCTCAAGTCAGAATCCTGAGAGTAAGGGTGACAACGCCAAGATACATATCCCGAAGACGACCACGTCGGCGAAATCAACCTCGAAGGTAAGGGTATCTCAAAAGAAACCCTTTGACCCATAGCAGCACATCGCTTATTGACTATTTTAGTGAGTAATGCTTCTTCAGTTATGAATTCAGGACAATTTATGTGCCCTTTTACTAATTCCACCATAGCTTTATATATATTTCGTATAACATTACTAAGCATTTTGTTTGTGAGGTGGTTGAATTTAAGGATTATAATAAAATAGATTTTTCTGAATTGTTGTCTCATGTTCTTCAGTTTTACACTTCTGTTATTTATAACACTAATGATGTTGATACCCAATTGTATTTCTTAAATATTTTGCTAAATGAACTTCATGACATGGTTCCTTTGTCTAGGGTTTTTTGTAAGCAGGACACTATTAGTTTTATGAAGTTGAGTAATGTCGTTCATGCGAGGTCCTTAAGGGACCTGGCGTTTCAGGCTTACCGTGATTGCCCCACTGACTCAAATAGAAAGATATGTTGCAAATATAGGAATAGGGCAAAAGCAACCCTACGTAAAGAAAAAAGAAATTATAGTATGCGTTTGTTTGATACTGCGGATAGTAAACAGATTTGGAGGAGACTTCGTAATCTTGGATGCTCTGGTAATGATAACCTATTAAATATGATGGATGTTGAATCTCTTAACAACTCTTTTTTGAACCACTTTGATTCTACCAGAATTTATGACTTTGATTTCCTAGGTTTTGATTACGGTCTTGAGTCATTTTCTTTTCGTATTATTACTGCAGATAAGTTGCTTATAGCTATGGAGCAAGTTAAATCGAATGCCATTGGCTAAGATATGATTCCAATTCCAGAAATTCATTAAACTCATTTATCCTCTTATATCAAACGTGTTATTGCACATCGTAAATACAATCTTTACTGTTTCTTTTTTTTCCTAAACTATGGAAATTGGCAAAAATTGTACCTATTTCTAAAGGAGGTTGTTGTGATATTGAACTTAAGTCCAATAAGCATATTACCATCATTGTCTAACATAGTTGAAAATTTAATTAAAAGTCAAATTTTAAATTTTATTGATCGTAACTCTATGTTACTAGTCAGTTTACATTTCGTTAAAAATAAAATACTACCTCTTTGTTGTTATCTTTGACAGACGATTATGTGTAACGAGTTTTGCAAGCCATTTGTATTTGCTGATGATATTTAGCTCCTTTTTTCTAATATGCATTAATTTGATTTTTTTGAAGCATCTATAAATTATCATTTTCAGGTGATTTCAAATTGGATGCATGCTAATAGGCTTTCGATAAATACTACTAAAACTAAAGCCATTCAGTTTGTTTTGCCTCGTCATGTTATTCAACATCCTGTTATTTATATTTCGAATGCGCCTATTCAATATGTTGATCATTTGAAATGCCTTGGTATTTATTTGGATCAAAATTTATCTTTTGAGTGGCATGTTAGTCATCGGACTCTCTCACAAGATCTGAGGCAAAGAGGATCAGGTCTCCCGAAGAGTTGACAACTGAGAATAAACCTTTTAATACACAGTCGAAGCCAAGCCATACTTCACTCAAAGGAACCTCAAGTCAGAATCCTGAGAGTAAGGGTGACAACGCCAAGATACATATCCCGAAGACGACCACGTCGGCGAAATCAACCTCGAAGGTAAGGGTATCTCAAAAGAAACCCCGAAAAGCGAGGAAAGATAGGCTTGACAGTGGAAAAGGAAAAGAGCCGCCATCTTACGATAAAGTTGCCAGAAAAAGACACCGGGACGATCTCTGTTATGCAGTTTACGATGCCGGTAATCCGACAGGCAAAATTCCAATAGACCAACAGAGTAAGGTAGAAGATCTGGTGAACAATAAGATAGAGGACCACGCAATCGCTTCAAAGGGCCAACAACCAATAGAGAGCGTGAGCTGCGAGCTCAGAATGGCGTGATGTTGATGAGGTTGGCATCTCACCAATGTGTGAGCACCCTAAAGAAATTGGTGGAAAGTATCCCTCCTCCCTGGGACGGCGCTAAGTTGGGACTGGCAAAGAAGAGCGAGCTTCCGGTGCTCTTAAAGTCCTGGCTAATGAACGTATACTGCAAATTCTTGGTGGTCAAAATGCTGAGCTGGCCGTGGAAAAATGGGACTTCTTTTACAGGAAAGAAGAACCTGAGGGAACTTTATTTGTAATGGGTATCGACCAGAAATCTATGGCTAGTCTTGCTAAGAATAAAGGTAGGGCTTACTTCGCCTCTAAAGCTGTCATATTCAAAATTGGGAAGGCGCCGATTGGAAGGGCTGTTACAACAAGCCTCGAAAAGGACACTAAAATACCTAAGACCACAGTATCAGTAGCAACTACTGATAACGTTAAGGTGTCAAATCCTAAAAGCGAGGAAGCTACCACTAACTCGCCAAAAGAAGGTGCAGCTGCCCTTTCGAAAATTGGGGAGGTGCCGATTGAAAGGGATGTCAAAACCGGCCCCGATAAGGACACCAAAACACCTAAGACGGTACCCAAAGCATCATTAGCAAGTACTGGTAATTTTGAGGAGTCAAATCCTAAAAGCGAGGAGGAAATCCCTCACTCGCCAGAAGACAGAACAGCAGTGCTGTCCAAAATTGGGAAAGTGTCGATTAAAAAGACTGCTCTTCCTATGCCTGATAAGGACACCGCAGTGCCATCAATGGTACCCACTGCATCAATAGCCAATTCAGGTTACCCGGAGGAGTCAAATCCAACGAGCGGAGATGTGATCACTAGCTCGCTGGAAGACAGTTTAAATGGATGACAATGATTGAGGTTATCCAAATAAACCTCCATCGGAGCGAGACAGCTACCAACGCTCTGATGGCTAAAATTAACACAGGTAAGATACATATAGCTTTGATCCAGGAACCTTGGACGATTCGCAACAAGGTTTCTGGATTAAATCACGTAAATTTCCAACTTTTCTACGCTGATACAGGGTCTCGACCGAGAACATGTATCTTATGTCACAAGAATTTATGTTTTCTCCTCTCAACAGGATTATCCACATCGGATGCAACGGTACTGAAGCAAGGTCGTGGCAACATATACATTGCATCTGTTTACCTGCCTTTCGATTCTCCGACACTACCACCAACGTCGGAGCTGATGAAACTGGTCCAAGAGGCACAAAGGCAAAATAAGAAAATTGTAATAGGTTGTGATGCCAACTCCCACCATGTAGCTTTGGGTAGTACAAACACCAATCGCAGGGGACAAGCCCTTATGGATTTCCTTAATACTAAAGACTTGATCACATCGAACTTAGGTAATAAAGCTACCTTCGTCAGTAGAATCAGAGAAGAAGTATTAGATATAACTATATGTTCAGAAGAGCTTATAAACGAAATTCAGGATTGGAGAGTTTCGGACGAGCTCTCCTTTTCTGACCATCGGTACATAAGATTCAAAATACTACGGCCGCCACCAAAGCCGATAAAGTTTCGGAATAAGTCTAAAACTAATTGGGCAATGTTCGGTTCCTTACTAAAGAACCGTTTATGTCAGAACACTTTTCAATGTCGAAATAAAGAGGACATAGACGCCAAAGTAGAAATGCTCACAAGTGCCTTGGTTGAATCGTTCGAGGACAGCTGCCCTCTGCGAGAGCGGAGATCTGCCCAGGAGAAACCTTGGGTAACCGGGGAGATCCGGAACCTTGGTAAGACTCTTCGCAAACTATTTAACCGGGCACGGCGTAAAAAGACCACAGTATACTGGGATGAGTATCGTAGTAAACTTGGTGAATATAAGAAAATTGTTCGTGAAGCCAAACGAGACTCCTGGAAACTTTTCTGTGAACAGGTAGACAGCGTAAATGACGAAGATAAAAAAATTCCTATCCAAAACTCATGTCCAACCAGAATCTATGGTCGATGATACGGGCAGGAGGCTGGAGGATATGGAGGAGACAATGAAACTCCTAATGGACTCTCATTTTCCACCCGCTATATCGAATAACATAGATGAACCGATATTGGAGGAAGGGGAGGCTGATATGGAAATTTTAATTACATCTGATATGGTTAAAGGGGCAATCAAGAGCTTCGCTCCCTATAAAGCTGCAGGGCCGGATGGCATTTTCCCGGCACTCTTACAGATGGAGGCGGGACTGGTTTCCGTACATCTGCCTCAAATATTCACTGCATGCTTGAAATTCACATATACCCCCATTAAATGGCAGGATGCAAGGATAATATTTATACCTAAACCAGGGAAACCTAGACACCTAAGTCTTATCGACCGATAAATCTTACGTCCTTCCTACTTAAAACTTTGGAACGGATAGTTGATAGTATGGTGAAAAGCAGTATACCCGACAAAGACCTAAAATTTAAGCAGCATGCTTATGTAAAGGGACGATCGGTGGAAACCGCTTTAAACGAAGTTGTCCACTACATAGGTGCATCCTTTGATAGCAAACTGTATACACTGGCGGTATTCATTGACATCGAAGGCGCCTTCAATAACGTGCACACTGATACCCTTATCCAATCCCTAGACCAGTTTTATGTTGACCGGGTGCTCCGTAACTGGATCAACCACATGCTAAGGAACAGATGGATAAGCTGCGAGATGTACGATATAACTATCAGGAAAAAGGTATTTCGCGGTATACCACAGGGTGGCATTTTGTCACCGTTACTCTGGGTTACCACGATTAATAGCCCTAACTGAGAAAGGACTTAGACCTGTCTGCTATGCAGACGATGTCGTATTACTTTTAAAGGGAAAGGATCCAAATTACTTGTGTAGAAGAGCTGAGGTGGCTCTGAATACGGCCTTGAGCTGGACTCAACCGAGAGGCCTCAATGTTAACCCGTCAAAAACGGAAATCTGTCTTTTCACAAGAAAGACAAAAATGTCTATGTATACTGAACCTTGCTTCCTGGGCAAGAAGATACCAGTGACAGACAAAGTTAAGTACTTAGGTGTAATCCTCGACCGGAAATTAAAATGGAGACACCACATAGAGGATAGGATCAACAAGGCACATCGGTGCTGGGCGATATGTAGGAGAACTATAGGCATGATATGGGGTCTTAGTCCTACTATGACAAATTGGCTTTATAAAAGTGTAATTAGACCAATTCTAGCTTATGCTTCAATAATCTGGTGGACTGCTTTAGACAAAAAGTGCAATATCAAACTACTACAGGGAGTTCAGCGTGCATGCTGCTTGGGTATAAGTGGTGCCATGTGTACTACTTCAACCAAGGCTCTGGAAACGTTGCTAGATATTCCACCCATTGAAACATATATAAAATATGAGGCGGCGCTTACAGCCGAACGGCTCTTTACTTTTGGCGAACTGACCAAAAGCGGTTATAAGACACGTCATCAATGTATACTGGACACATTGGAAGGTTATACACAATCATCGGACGTGCCTGATCGTATACCAGACACAGAATATGTCGGAAACTTTGAAACGCTGATCCCAGATAGAGTGTCTTGGTCAAGCGGAACATTAGAGCAAATACCATTAGGAATCCGTTGTTACACGGATGGCTCTAAATTGGGGGACAGAGTGGGGCTGGGTTTCTATATTGAAGACCCAGAAACAGAAATATACCACCGTTTACCAAATCATAACACAAGCTTCCAGGCAGAAGTACGAGCAATAACGGAATGCGTAAATTGGATTAGAATAAATATGGCGCCCACAGCGCTTAATATATTTACCGACAGCCAGAAGGCAATTAGGGCGATATCAGGTGATAGAACTAAATCTAAGACCGTATTGGATTGTAAGAAAGCTTTAACTGAATACTCTCCCAGGGGTAAGGTTCACATCATATGGGTACCAGCCCACTCGGGAGTAGTCGCTAACGAAAGGGCGAATGTAATAGCTTTAAAGGGAAGGGAGCTCGAGGCAGTTAATCTGACAAATGCAAAACCATTCGACGCAACAAAAGCTGAATTAAAAATATGGGTGAGAGAATCTCATAAGGCCTCTTGGAATAATGAAACAGTGGGTAGAACCACGAAGATCTTTTGGGGTGACCCTGATGAGAGCAAGACGAAAAATCTCCTCAAAATGAGCAAGTCTGAAGTTAGTATGATGGTACGTATTCTGAGTGGACACACAGGACTACGAGCACATCTATGCAAAATTGGACGTGCGGATTCAGACGAATGTAGAGCATGTGGAGAGGACAGTGAAGCTCTGAAGCACTTTCTTTGCCACTGTCAGTCATTCATCGAAGTTAGATCCAAGTATCTTGGAAGTGATGTTATTCCGGAAATAACATTCCTGACTAACACTGATTGGAAGATTCTTAGGAATTACGTTCAGGAAACTGAGTTTCTGAACACTGAAAAATAATATTTTTTTTTTCATGATAAGGAGCGCACAACAGGCCCGATAGTTATGGTGTATTTCTTCGGATTTGATGTAGTATACATCCTCCTATCGACCTACCTACCTAGTCATGTTTCTAGTAAAGTTTTTTTTAATATTATGAAGATTGCATTCTCTTAGTTCTTATATGCCTAGGCGTATAAGATGCCGTATTGCTTATGCACTTCTGATGTCGAATTTGAATTTTTGGATTGAAGTTATTGCTGGGTTATCGAATGGTACCCTAATTAGACTTGAAAGAATTTTTAATAGTGTATTGAGATTTGTCTATAGTCTAAAGTCACGTGATCACGTTACTAATTTTGCTATCGACTTTCTGGGATGTACTTTTCGTGATTATGTAACTTTACGCACTTTACTTTGTTTTTCCAAAGTCTTAAAATAGGGAGTTCCACTTGATTTGTGCAATATTTTCAATTTTCTTCATTCATCACGTAGTATACAAATTGACATACCTCTTATACGTTGTCAAATTTTCTTATATTCGTATTTAATTAGGGTTGCTAGAGTCTGGAATAGCCTGCCTTTAGATTAAAGAAGTTTTTCGGGGACTTATTTTAATCTCTAGTGGGACTTTTAATGTTTCTACTTTTTGATACTTAAAGCATTTAATTATTAAAGAGATAATGTTGTTTTGGCGGAGAACTTTATTTATTTATACATAGTTTTTCATTTTGTAATATAAATATCTATGAATTTGACATAGTTTTTGCTACAATGTAATTACTTTGTAATACTTAATTTGGCCAGAAGGCTTTTGTATTATTAGTTGAATAAATAAAATAAAAAAATAAAAATAAATACCCCGTTCACATGATACAATTATTCATCATTCAACCCCCAATTACATACCGAATGACATGATTGGCCATGCAAAATTTCAGCTGCGAATTACACAAGCTGTACGTAATTCAGTTTGAATTACGTACGAATTACGAATGAATGAGTGTCATCTCTAATATTTATCGGGTATTTATCATAATCAGCTGTTTGTTTTCATTGGTTGGAGACAAATAAAGAATAGAATTAGAAAAAATTTCTAATAAATAGAAAATATATAACTTAATTTGTTAAAATAATGTAACAAACGTATTTTTGTATCATACACACACACTAATATTTCTAAAAATTACAAAATAATGACTGAAAAAAACAAAATGGCGATGAAACTGTCAAAAAGAATTACGAATATGTCGTAGATACGGGTTAATTGGCTATCGTCACTTAGAAGCCGAATTAAGTAATTCAACTGCTCGTGTGAACTTGGTATAAATTAGGCCTTATCACTACGTAGTAGCAAGAAGTTCTCTAATAACAAAAACCTTTTTCTTGGGTAATTTTGGTACAAAAACCAAAAAAAATCGATTTTCTAAAACCATTAACGAACAAATTTACATGAATTTTCAATAGTATAATCTCCCTGCAGGAAATGAAACTAGTACCAAACTAGTATTTTACTAGTACCAAAATCACTAGTACTACTTCCCAACTGTAAACTTTCCTATACCATCATAATGCTCAAATTAACATTAAGTGTGTTTGAAAAATTACTAGTACCTACCATTAGTTCAAGACTTATACTAGTACAATTGGGTTCTTTAGAACCAGTTTGATACTAGTTCTAATATTCATAAAAAGTCGCCATAATTGGTGGGTTTGCTCTTTTGCAATCCTCCAGCACAATTCCAAGTGAAAATTACTACACAACTAGTTTTTTATACACTTTTATTTCTAAAGATACAAAAAAAAAAAAAAAATACAAAATTTGTAAACACATTTACCTAACGATTCAATATGAAAGTTGGAAGATATTCTGCTTCTATCCGTATGATATCATTTGATATCATTGATTTTATTGTGTCCAATAATTCCATTCAGGTACATATCTCCATTTCGTTATAAAAACATTTGCAGTACGATAAAACAAATATTAAACTTATTGCAATTTTTAAATTTAATAGACGTACTTACATAACCGGACCTAAATTTGCATGCACTATTTATACTCTCATTTGAAGGGATATGTTTGAAAATATCGTTTTTTATGCAAAATTTTTCAAAATTATATTTTAATAATTTATAAATTTACATATTTTTCCAACACATGTCAAACAAAAATCAGTCTACAAGTGGCGCCATTCAACTACTCCTAGTATTTTTCCATATAAACTCTAACGCAATTTGTACTAGTGTCTGTTGTTCTAGTATTAGTACTAGTGGCATTAAGACAATTATCGCTTCATTTCCTGCAGGGCTACAAGTTTGGGTACTAAATTTTGAAGAGGGATAAACCGCAACCCCTATTATTGCTTTCCTCAATGCAATTGTAGTGGTTCAAACTTGTTAATACAAATTTCCGATTTTGTATTGAAAAATTTGAAATTTTGTTTATAGACTTTTTGCACTCAGCTTCATCTCTCATCAATTTGCAAAAATGATATCTTTCCATAAGAAATGTATGGAGAAAAAAAGCGGCATCTTTTAACATCTTTACAAGATGTT